ATTCTCTCTCTTCCCGTGGGGACATCTGAGAGCTCGACCTGTGGAAGGAGCAGCAGTGTCCTGGCTGCCACATTCGGTCATGCAGGTTGGGCACTGCACAGGGGTGCTCAGCCAAGAGGGCAGGAGGGAGGCGGCTCTGGCTCGTGCTCTAGATGCCACAGCCGCAGTCCAGGAAGGAAGGGGGGCGTTCTCTGAATTGCACTACAGCACGTTGGGGCTCGCAGAGGCCCTGCAGTGACACGCATCCTCTTCCTACGGAGGCAGGGAAAAGAGAGCCAAGGACGAGTTTCCAGTTCTGCTCCTCATGGCTTGCCAGTCCTAGAGTGCCCTGGGCTGTCCTGGGAGGCGGGCCAGACACCATTGTGCAGACCTCTGGCAGCCCCTTCCAGAGGTGGCGGCCTGCTCCCTGCTTCCTCTCACCTCCCCCACAGAAGCCATCCTAGCTCAGCAGTTCCTGGTGTGAACTAGCTCAGCAGCCCCTGATTAAACTGGAAAGTGCTGCTCTCCTGAGAGATTATTTGCCCTGTCCAATTGGCAAAAACTCAGAAGGCTGACACCTTTCCATGGGCAGGGCTGGGGGAAAAAGAAGCATTCTCCTGGGTTGCTAGTAGGAGTGTAAACTGTGCAGCCCCAGTGGAGAGAACGTCGATGTGGCAAAGTGAGTGTAAGTGAAGGGTGGTGGGTGGTCATCATTTCAATTTTACAACATTCCTCTAGGTTTGAACATTTACAGAATCAGTTGCAGGGGGAACTCTAAACGTGCTGTGTTGAGGAGGTCCCATCTGCCTGCTCCAGTTCAGGCTGGCCTGGGTCCTCTCTTCTGCCATCTGCCTGGTCCCCGCCTCCTTATCGTCACCCCTGTTTCCTCACAGGTGAAGACCCCCTTGTGGATGATCAAAATGAACGAGATATCAATTCCGTCGCCGGTGTTTTAAAACTGTATTTCCGAGGACTGGAAAACCCACTCTTTCCTAAGGAAAGGTTTCAAGATTTGATATCTACTATTAGTAAGTATTTCCCAGGTGGGATGATCATTTTCTTGAGAAATCTTTATTGAGATTGCACTATGGGCTCATCACTGTGCTAGGCACACAGGGGGGACACTGTGAAAGAAGCAGTATGGCTCTTGTCCTCATAGAGCTTAAAACCTAGTTGTAGAAATAACAAGGTGGATTATAATGCAAGAGTTCGTGGGCATGGTACACCCCTGGGTATGGAAGGAGCTCAGAAGAGAAGAGAGGAAGACTTAGTATCCAGATCTTAGCTGAGAGTGATATGCATAGTGCAAGAGGCTGGAAGGGTGCAATGGAGCAAGAGAGGGAAGACCTTGAATGCCTTGCAAGGATTCCAGAGATTTTCCCTTTGGGAAATGGGGAGCCATGGAGGGTTTGGGAGTTCAGGTCAGCAATATGTCGAACAAGGGAAGTGCTGAAAGTAAGTGGACTAGCATCTTCCTCTGACTCGCTAGCCATCAGAGTCCTCCTTGACTGATTGTCTGTGGATGAAGTGAGGAGTCCTGTCCAGGAGCTTGAAGTAAAGGCGCCTTCACTGCAAGATGCCAATGTCCAAGGCAACTTTTTGGGAATATTTTTTTTAAAACTTTTAATATTAGAATATGGGAATTTTAGTATTTTGGAATAAACTCTTTAATATGATCGATAGAAAATTAGCCCACTGGGGATGCTTCTCACAGTACTCTGAGAGAGATTTGCAGCCAAGCATGTGTCTCAGGAGGTGGTGACAGCTGCCTTGTGTAAAGGACCCTCTCCCCCGCCCCCTGCCCTCCACACTACTTGCTCCTCATCTTTCCAGACCCACTTCAAGCTCCAATTCAGCTCTCGGATATTCCAGGCCACAAAGGTCCCACCTTGCCTGAGCCCTGTGTCCCTTGCTCAGCCAGTGTTTCCAGTTCCCGAGCAAGGCCCTCAGCAGACAAGGTCGTTGACCTCTGGAACAAGCTCCTGGCATTGGATAAGTTGAATCACACCCGGAATCACACAGTGAGAAAGAATGTCACTTCTTAGTTTCTTCCCAAACCCTGTGATTATTCACATCAAGGAGAAGACCTCATGGGTCAATCTCCCTTCTACACAGAGAGACAGAATTTAGTCTCAGGAACTTTTGTAGAGAACCATGTCTACATATAACTTAGTAATATTGCTTTGCTTACATTATATCTATTTTTATGTTACCTTCTAATTGTGGTAAGTGATCCTGGTTTCTCACTTATAGAGTGAGGTCAAGTCTCCTTTTTAAATAAATATTTTAAAGAAAAAAATTAATAAATAATAGTGGAGGTGATACCAGGGCACAATGACTAGAAGCTGAGGAGGTGGAGCAGCAGCGGATCAGTAAAGGTACAAGGGCCTTAACTTTGTGGGAAGGCTTCGGCGAGGCTCCCTGGAGCCAGACCTTGGTAGTCTGCAGTGTGCCCGACAGGGAAGAGAGATCAACAGTGTGTGCAAAGCCCCAGGGACAGCCAGGTCCTTTGTGAGAGGGAGAAGGTGGATGAAGTGGCCTGGCACAGAGTTTCTCAATGGGGAACTGTTGGCAGTGAGGGTAGAGCAGTACCTTGCGTGTTACCTACACTCAGGACACTTAGCACCTTGCCCCTGAATCCCAAATGCCGGTAGCACCCTCCAGTCTCTGACAACCTCAAAGAATGCCTCATATCTTTGTAAATTCCCCTAGAGGTACACTACTTATTTGAGAAGCGTAGCTCTAAATCATCCTCAGGTACTTTGTGAAGGGGCAGTGACTAGGAGATGGGTCATGCAAGGTTGGTTGAAGCCCCATCATAAAGAGCCTTGGATGCAGAGGAGAAACAGAAGTAATGTTTTAGAAGAAGCATGTTGACAGATGTGGAGGCTGGAGGGAGGAGCTATATGAGAAAAAAAAAGTGTTTTCTGAAAAAGAAACTGACATGGATTTGTGTATCAGCCCTGCAGATGAACATCAGAGCTTCAGCAGCTCACTCTCCTGAATGCCAGCTTTCCCTTTCCACAAGGCAAAGTCCGCAAAGCACTTTTCTCTCCTTATCAAGCCCAATTTGCTGCTCCCATCCCTGGCCTGACTGATAAAAATACCAGTGTCTGTCTCCTAGGATTGACCTGAAAACAGAGGTCAGAGACGAGATCCCAAGCACCTGCCAGGCTCTTTGGCCAATATATAGTTTGAGAGACGGTTATTTATTCAACACGTTTCCTGAATACCTACTATGTGCCGCCTTATGTTGTAGCTGGTGTTTATAAAGAGTTTAATGAAACATGGGCTACCTGTATTCATCAGGACTCGTGGGTTACAGGCGACAGAAACTCAACTTATACTGGCTTAATCCATTAAAGGGAATGTCTTGGCTCACGTTCCTGAAAGTTAGGCACCGCTGGATGCACATTTCACTTGGCATCAGCAGGAATCTGTCCCCTTGTCTCCATGCTGTCTTCACTTTCAGGCAGGGTCTTCTTCCCTGGGGTCCCTCAGCTGCTTCACGCTTCCCTCGATCCAGTTTCAAGAGAGTGCCTCTCTCTAGGTTTCTCCAGTCCAAAGCCCCAAGGATCAACTGCTATTGGTTCTGATTAGGTCGTGTAGCCCTCCCTAGACCTACCCTGGGGCCAGGAGAATATGATGCTTTGATTGGCCAGGCCAGGGTCACATTTCAGTCCCCAGAACTGAGTAGAACGGGCTCCCCTGAACTGATCTAGGAGGTGGGACTCGCAAATGTTGACTGCTTGGCTCTCTGAGGATGACGGACAACCTGAAAGCCCCTTTATGTTGCAGAACTGGAGAGCCCAGCTGAGAGGGTGCACCAGATCCAACAAATCCTCATCACCCTTCCCCGCGTGGTCATCGTGGTCATGAGATATCTCTTCGCTTTCCTCAACCAGTGAGTTGTCCAGCTGGGGGTGGGGGGTGAGGAGGGCACGCCCCTTTTTTACTCAGGGGGTCCTGAGACCTTTGCAGGTACAGCTGTTCTTAGAACATGGAACCTTCCCAGATTTGAGTGGAGCCTTCAAGAGAAAGAAATCGCAGGGGGAGGCTTCGCCTTTCCCAGGTGACCTGTGGGTGCCTCCTCTCTTACAGCCTCTCGCAGTACAGTGACGAGAACATGATGGATCCCTACAACCTGGCCATCTGCTTCGGGCCCACCCTCATGCACATTCCTGATGGGCAGGACCCTGTGTCCTGCCAGGCCCACGTCAACGAAGTCATCAAAACCATCATCATCCATCATGAAGCCATCTTTCCCAGCCCCCGGGAGCTAGAAGGACCCGTGTATGAAAAATGCATGGCTGGAGGGGAAGAATATTGGTAAGATTCCATTCCTCTTCATATTATTATCCCATTCCTCTTAATACTGTTATTATCATGTTGTTACTGTTGAACGGGAACAGTAAGAAACCCTTTAATTTTCTTACTGCTTTATAGTCTGTACTCTCATTTGAGCTTCACAGCAGCCTGACATGAGATAGATGCATCAGTCCAGACTCTATTGATTTATAAGGGACAGGAGTAGAGCTCAAAGTGGTTTAAACTAAATGGGATTTATTGGTTTACTTAAAAAGTCTGGATCATGGCGTCAGGTATAGCTAGATCCAGGGGTTCAACTGTTATCATCAGGACTCGGTCCTGCCATCCTCAGCCTGTGGCTCCTCTTTCTTCCATGTTGGCCTCATTCTCAGGCAGCCTTTTTCCTGGTGGTTTCAAGAAGGCATCGGTAACTCCAGATTTAGAGCCCATTCTCTCAGCATCCCCAGTGGAAAAAGAGCTCCTCCTTCCCAAATGTTCCAACACAAGCCCAAGAATGGTGTCTCCTTGCTGGGGCTTGAGGCTGGTGAACTAATCACATTGGTTAGCAGATCCAATGCTGTCCTTGGCCAGGTGAGTTGTAAGTCCATCTCAGGCAGCAGGGAAGGGGATAATCTCCACCTCAAACTCACGAACTGAGAGAATGACACTCCCTGCCATTGTCCCCATCCACCAGGAGGTCTCTTTTCCAGCAAAGTGAATCCAGTCTTTGAGAGCTCCACACCAGGTCAAGAGTTGCTAGTTGGGCACTTACACTGGGTCAGGGGAGAAATATGTCAGAATCTTATCAAAATCAGGGCCGACTACCTTCCCCAGGCTGAGACCTTAAATGTGGTAAGACAGGAAATTTTTTTTTTATGTGGAAAAGACAGGAGATTCAGAACACTGGCTGACAGAGACCAGTCAAAGGGTTGGCACTCTTTCTTTATCCCCAACCCAGGACAATACACAGCTATATATTTAGCATTGCCTGCACTGCTCTGAGCCAGGTGCCTGCAGGAATTTGTCTTTTGATTGTCAAAGCATTCCTGGATTCTTGAATGGCTTTAGTTCTGAAGGCATATTTGGGCAACTGCTTCAAAGAAGGGAGCTGTTCTGGCCCATTTCCCCATTACACTTCCCTGCACAGAAAGACGGGCCCTGGTATTATCTAATCGCAGCTCTCTAATCTCCTGCGAGGCCCCAGGAGCAAGTCTGTCCCTGTTCTGTTACAGATACATTGAAGAACCAGTCTGTTACAGATACATTGAAGAACCAGCAAGCAGACTTTTTGGACAGAGAAGCTTTTCAAGTTTTTGTACCATTACCAGTTCTCTGTTCTTGTTGCAATATATATATATATAATTAGTGTTCTGGGAAGGGTCCTTAAAAAGATCGTACTGTGCTTATCAAAGAACAATATGCAATCACCACACTTTTCTTAATCTCATTCGCATCCCATGAGAAAGGAAAACTGTCAATTACATGGTAATTTTGGAGACATTTTCAAATCCCCGGCTGAGGATCTCATCACAGTGGACAACATTCACTGATTCAACAAATGGTTACTGAACATATGTCCTGGCTCAGGCCCTGGGAAGCGGGGTGGAGGATGGGGAGGAATGTGCCCTGAACAGGATTAACCCCTGATGCAGGCAGCTCTGGTGGAGGAGGGAATAGGCAGTTCCAGAAGTAGGGTCCCCTGAGCCAATATAGGGAGTTCAGAAAATGCCTCTTGAAGGAGACAGGGACTTAACTGAGACCTACAGACCTACAGGCAGCCAGGTGAGGAGCAGGCAAAGAATGGTCTAAACATGGAACATTCCATAACATGGAAAGCAGCTCTGTTTCCACAGTGTTTCCCGTGACCAGGAGGTGGTGAGGGAGGACCCTCTGTGGGACAGCAGGGGCTGAGTTAGGAGAGGTCTTAAGCCTTGTGCAGAGTCTGGGCCTTATCCAGGAGGCAACAGAGAGTTTTTCCTAATAAAATCTATATTCCTTTAAATGGTATTGCAAATGTCACCTACTCTGAGAAGCCTTCCCTGGCCACCCTATATAGGTCCCCTCTGCTGTTTTTGTCTCTGTTCATTTGTTCCTACATAAAGCATTTCCACTTGCAGTTTTATTTCCTGGCCCATGAGGGTGGGTCTGTGTCCATCTGACCCATCAATGCATCCCTTGTACCTAGCACAGTGTCAGGCATATATTAGGACTCAATCAATGACTCAGTAAAAAAAAACAAAAAACTGACTGACCAGCTGTGTGAATGAACCTTGGCTTAATCTTGTGAGAGGGAAGCAGCTGGTGAAATTATGCCAGTGCGTTAAGGACTAAATTTGACCGGCCTGGATTCCCTCTGTCAGCCTGTCCATCATGGGTGCTGGCCTGCTCACACCACCTGGGCTGGTCTGGGCTTTTGCACACAGCATCTAAGGCAGCACTGAGGACCCCTGCTTGTGAGCGTCACCCCACCTTGCTGGGTGTGTCACTTCTCGCATAAGACAGGGAGCAGGGCTAAATGAATGACTCCCAATACTTCCAAAAGTCCTTTCTACCCTGTGGTTCTTCTAAGGAGAAAAGTCAGGGTTTTGCCACTGCCCTCTGGATCTTACAGAACACCTTGGTATTGACAACCTTTACCAAGAAAACAGCCCAACCAATTCCAGGGCTGCGTCATCTGGGGAAGATTATACAGGGAAGCTTCCCGACCAGGAGGCTGAAGTGGTTTTCTCTTAGGAAGGAAGGTCCATGGGTGGTCAGATGGAAAAGAAGGGACCCAGTGGGCCTGGGCCTGATCTGGTCAAGGCCCAGAGGTGGACTGGGCTGGTGCCCGAGGGAGGCTAAGGGCAGCATGAGGGTACAAAGCCCCCCAACGAGTCCCCTTTCCATGTTTCTTTGCAGTGATAGCCCACACAGTGAGCCAGGGACCATTGATGAAGTTGACCATGACAATGGCACTGAACCTCACACCAGTGATGAAGGTGAGTGGAGGGAAATCTGGGACCAAGGAACCCACTGGGGGCCTCTCGTGCTGGCCCAGGACTGCTCAACGCTGGGCCGGCCACAGAACCCCTCCCGCTTCGCAAGTCAGCACGTCGTCCCCAGAATAGATGGGGACTCGGAAAGACCTCGGAGGCTTGTGCGTTCCATGGATCACATTCCTAGCTGGCTGCCTCGTCCCTGTCTGTGTCCTTGTTGATCCAAGTGCAAATCCTAAGTGACAAGAGTTTCCTAAGTAGGAAGCATGCTTTGTCCCTCGGTTCCTCCCCAACCAGGCATCTGTTCTGTGCCCAGCTGTGCTGGGACTTGGGGCCTATCGATGAACGAGACATGGATCGCTGGGACCTGCAGTCTCATCACCTGACAGGTTGGGAGCAGCTCCCCACAATGCAGAGTGATAATGCCAGACTGCAACTGCACCCCCAGAGCGGTGGGTGCCTGAATACAAAGCCTAACAGGGCCGGCCCAGGGAAGTGGAGGGAGGGAGGGAAAGGCCAGCCTGGCTTCTGACGGCTCACCGGGCCCTTCCACCATTCTAGACAAGGAGAAGAGAGTCAGGTTAGTCTTGCGGGAGCCTGGACTGTGCAGATAAGCAACGTGGATAATACAGGCCCAGGGCCACACGTCCATTAGGCACAGCAGGCACAGTAGGCACAGTGTCCTGGGCCCACAACACTTGAAAATGTTCTAATTTCTTTTAAAGTAAGAAGAAAAATATGAATATGGTCCAGCCTGGACTACATTTATCTTTATGCCAATACAGTTGTAAATGTAATTTTAACTTTTTGTTAATGGAGGAAGAGACCTGTCAGGGCCAGCCTGACTGGTTGAACCGGGCTGAGGTAGGGAGGTGGGAATTGAGAAAAGAAAGAAAGACGGGAGAGCGGGATCGGGAGGACTACAGCTCAATCGAGGAACTGCAGTAAGTTTATTAACCACACAATGCTTTTTATACACAAGACACTGAATAGGACGTCTGTCAAGAGGAATGTATTCTTTGTTCTTCTTAATCTCTAAGGGAGAGATAGAGCAGAAGGACAAATTCTCGGTACAGCAACTCTCAGTAAATAGTTACAGACTTCTTGGTAAGCCATGAAAGGCTGTTCTCATTCTACAAAGGTTGCTCTCATTCTACTGATAACTGCCATCCAAACAAGTCTGGGAAAACTGTGGGTAAGGGTTCCAGCCTTGCTAGCCCCTTCAGGTGCAAGGACCATGTCAGCTTACACCCGGTCTCCAACAGAGACCCATGCAAAAACAAGTGCAGAGTGCCTGTGAGAGTCATAGCACAGCCCTCCTGCCTCCCTGAGAGAGTTTTGCTTTTTTATCAATCTTGCTTTTTTATCAATCACTATTTAGCGTTTCTGACCTTGTGTTTCTATTGTGGGACATTTGGGTTTTGTTCCGAGCACAAAGAACAAGAGAGTTTCATGATCTAATTTATGATTTTTAATTGAATTCATTGGGCTGACATTGATTAATAAAATTATACAGGTTTAATAAAATTATACAGGTTTCAGGTATTGTGTGTTTACCACCCCAAGTCTATTCTCCTTCCAACACCATTTATCCCCTTTTCCTTCTTCTAACTCGCCCCTCCCCTCTTCACCCTGGCAATCACCATACGGTTGCCTATGTCCATGAGTCTTTCTTTTTTTCCTTTGCTTAATCCCATCACCTTTTTCACCTAGTCCCCAACCCTCTCCCCTCTGACAGCTGTTCTCTGTATCCAGGAATCTGTCTCCATTTTGTTTGTTAGTTTACTTTGTTCATTAGATTCCATATATAAGTGAAATAATATGGTACTTGTCTTTCCCTGGCTGGCTTGTTTCACTTTGCATAATACTCTCCAGGTCTGGCTGCTGTGGGGAGAAACGGCTCCCCATGCAAGAATGAAAGCCAGGAAGGCAGGTAGAGGGACAACAGTGGCAGGGGAGGTGGTGAGACTGGTCAGACTCAGGGGATAGCTGCAAGGGGCTGCTGATGGGTGAGATGTGGGACTCTGAAGAGCAACTGCAAGGCTTTGGCCTGAGCCAGTGAGCAAGGTGGTTCTATTTCCTAACTGGGGAAGATGAGAGAATTCACTACGTTTGGTGAGGGGTGTGTGGGAGAATGGTGCAAGGGAGAATAACATACTTTATTTCGGTATTATAGACCCAAATAATGGCTTTCTTAATAACTGGTAGCTGCTAGTACTGTTCCCACCACACACACTTACATAATGACATCTGTACACGTGTTCACGGTCAGCTGGGGCTCAGCTCGGCTCCTCCCATTTTCTTCTTTTCTTTCTCTTTCATTTTCCATTCCTCCCCCCCCTTCCAACCCCCACCCCCCCGCTTCCCCACCCCCACCCCCCAGCACCAGACTACCCCAGCTACCCAAGGGGCTCCTGTGTGCTGCTCCTAGCAGGAGCTAACCTCTGCTCAGGCCAGCTTCTTTATCAGCTGAATCAGCTGGCTCAGAGGACACCCTGGGGTGAACGCCCAGAGCACCGCCAGCCGGGTTCAGCTCCTGCCTTAGACCCTCTGGCCTTTCTGCTCTCTGTAGCTGGGCTGCAGGCAGTGCTAGCATGTGGTTGGCTCAGAGAAGAGTCAAAGAGGCAGAGGAGGATGGAGATCTCCCCAATTTTCCGAGAAGGTGACTCTGAGTCAGGATCCGAGATATTTGACCCATTTAGCTGTGCTGTCATTCTGCATCAGTTGTGTTAGGAAGGCATTTAAAGACATTTGTCAGGGAGCCAGCTGGGAAAAGCTGACTTAACTGTCCAACACCCGCTCCCCACAGAAGGCTGCCCCAGGCACTGAGGATTGTGTGCTTCCAAAGACTTCTGTGTCTCATGGGATCACCAACAGTCATCCGGGGCCAGCTGCTTACAGAGAGCCCGAGTACACGTGTATGGCGGGGATCAGTGGGGGGATGAACAAAGCGGTTTGCTCCCTCTGCTCTTTGACTTTCCATACTGCCTTAGCCCCTGAAAGTACATCAGCTCTAGTGACAACAACTAACTCTCATATGAGTTTACCATATGCGCACACTATTGCAAGCACTTCATGTATGGTAGCTCATTTAATCCTCATAACAACCCTAGAAGGTATAGGTACTATTATTATTCATTCCCATTCTACAGATGAGGAAACTGAGGCTTAGAAAGGAGAAATAAGTTGCCAAAGGTCACACAGCTAAAAAGCAGCAAAACCAGGTGTTCTGGCCTTTCTTCCATGAAGGACAGGTAGATGGCTGGAAGGACAGATACAGATAATCTACCAGGAATGGAGCAGATATGGAGACCCATGGATGCTAAGCATAGGGAAAGTATCTGCAGGCTAGAGAAAGCAAGGGTCACTTTTGTTACTCTTGTTCTATTAGGATTAATATACCTACACATATTATTTGAATAATATTAAACATTTTTGTGCTTGTTTTAAAATATAAATACATTAATACCTATACACAGTTTTCTACCAAGTGTGGACATTTCTTAGGGTATAAACTATAGTATAGGTTAAATCAGTCATAGGCATAACTTTCCTGCTCCCTATACAGTCTCCTCCCCAGACATCATCAGCTGTATGGTTGTAACTCAAACTCTTGGCAGCTTAGATTTCTTATTTAGACCTACCCCATAGGCTAAATCCATTAGTAATAATAATCATAATCATGAGAGCCATTATCAACTGAATACCTAATGTATGTCTGTGCTATGTTGTCTTTCATGCATTACCTTTTAATCCTCCTAACAACCCTTACAGGTAAGGCAGCTGAGGGGTACGGAGGTTAAGTAACTTCCCTGAGCTCCAGACAACAGGTGACAGAGCTGGGTAGTAGGAGTGCTTCAAGCACAAGAGCCATATTCTCATTGTTTAACCCAGTCCCAGCCTGTCACTGTCCAGAGAAGAGTAAATGTTTGATCGGTAAATATGTATGTGCAAAGAGATGTGCTGGAGCTATGGCCCCAGTAAGAATTCTCCTTCCCTCCACATTAAGTCCATGGATGAATGGGTTAGTCAGCTCCGGCTGCCATAACAGAATACCACAGACCAGGTAGCTTAACCAACATAGATTATTCCCTCAGCATTCTGGAGGCTGTAGAAGTTCAAGGTCAAGATGCCATCAGGATTGGCTTCTGGGGAAGTCTCTCTTCCTGGCTGGTAGACAGCTGCATGTGGAGAGAGAGAAATCTCTGAAGCCTCTTCCTCTTCTTAGAGGGACACCAGTTCTATGCGATTAGGGCCCCACCCTTTTGATCTTATTTAACCTCAGTTACCTCCCAAAGGCCCCATCTCCAAAAACATCACATTGGGGGTTAGGGCTTCCACATATGGGTTTTGGGGGATGCTGTTCAGTGTAAAATGATGAGCTTTGAGGAAACCTTAAAGCAAGCGTGTCAAGCTCAGAAGGCTAACATGGGCCAAATAAACAAGGCATGCAGGCCGCGGACCAAGAGTTTGACATGCTTGCCTTAAAGAGTTCTGGGAACCCTTAAAAATGTGTATGTGTATAACATTTTGCATAGATAGCAGTCCACATACACCTCCTGTTTAACTTCCCCCAAAATAAAAATCACTAAAAGTATTGTAAGTGGACAAAGAGGGAAACGGTTCATGGAAAAATGGAAACAGAATTTGTTTTAAGGGGTAGAAGGAAAATAAATTTCTTATAATGTTGTTAAGTGTTTTAAAGATAGAGAACAAAAAGAGCAGTGGAAAATAAGGACATGTATGTGAGCCCCCTCTTTCCATTTTGAGAAGTTAGATGGCCTGCCTGGGTCACAGCATGGGAGAGTGGATCTGAGCCTAGAACCCTGGGGCCCTCACCCCAGCCCACACTGTTTACACTGGGCTTGCTGTCTGTGCTGCCCCATAGAAGCCAGGGCCATCTGAGCAAGGCCCCCAGGCTGTCCTTCTGCTGACCTTATGGATGCTCTTCTTCTTCCTCTCCCTCCAGAAGTGGAACAGATTGAGGCCATCGCCAAGTTTGACTACGTGGGGCGGTCCCCACGTGAGCTGTCCTTCAAGAAGGGGGCCTCGCTGCTATTGTACCACCGTGCCTCGGAGGACTGGTGGGAAGGTCGTCACAACGGCGTGGATGGGCTCATCCCACATCAGTACATAGTCGTACAGGACATGTGAGTGGGAGCTGGACCCTACTGTGAAGAATGCCATAATCGATTAGTGATGTCTAGAATGGGCACAGGAAGGGGAGCTCGGGGTCATATACCAGGGATGTGCTCTCACTGATATAATTACCCTTGGTCTCCTAAGAACAGATCCCCCCTTAAATGGTGATCCTGTTAACAAATAAGCAAATTGCTCACACTTCAGAGCACATGGAGACAGCCTGGGTGCCCTTGGTCCCCTTCCTGACCCACCTGACAGCCTCCAGAGCACTCCTCACCCACATGGTTCTCAGTGTCCAGTGGATCTGACCATGTGCCTTCACTCTCCTGGCCTTCCTTGTAGCCAGAGGCCAGCCCACCACCCCCTTAACTGCCCACCATCCTCCACCCCCGAGGTGGCATTCTCAGGGGACAGCAGGAGCAATCATCCCCTCATTTCGAGTTAATAGAGTACTATTTTTTTATTAAGGTGTAATTGACATATAACATTATATTAATTGCAGGTGTGCAAATGACTTGATATTTTTATATATTGCAAAATAATCACCACAATAAATTTAGTTAACATCCATCAGCACACAGTTATAATTTTTTCATATATGATGAGAACTTTTAAAATCTCCTCTCTTAGCAACTTCCAAATATGCAGTACATAATTATGTGCTATGTAAATATGCTGTACATCACATTCCCAGAACTTATTTATTTTGTAACTGAGAATTTGTACCTTTTGACCCTCTTCACCTATGTCACCTCTCCACCCCCCGCTGCCCACCTCTGACAGCCACCTATCTGTTCCCTGAATCTATAGGTATTATTTTCTTTTAAACAATTTCAGGCCTGAAAAAGGCCCTGCATCCCAAATACTAGCCCTACCAGAGAGCCAGAAAGTCCACACCTTCCATTCTCTGAAAGCTATTGAGGGTTCCTGCACACACACTCCCACTGAGCTCTGGTCAGGCTCCATGGAACCGATTTATCAAGGAAGCAGCCACCAAGCTAGACCTCAAAGGAAGGGGGCCAAAGGCAAAGTTTTGGTGGCAGAAGGGACGGTCTGAAGCCAGAGAAGTCTGGAATGGGCATATCCCACGAGGAATGCCACAGGGAGGGCTCCTGGCACTCTGATGTCCCCAGGCCTCTGTGGACAGGGACAGGGCACTGGAAGGAAGAGGGTGTGGGAGGAGGCTGGCAGAGACATCCAGCTAGCTCCAGCCACCTCACAGTTCAAGCCTTGGGTGAGGAGGGGAGGGATGGCGGCACCTTCTCCCTCCCTTGCTTACCCCTAAAGCACTCCTCACAGAACCACGGGGAGAGTCGGCACTCAGTGCCCAGCTTGCAGGGTCCGCTCCCCATTTCTCCAACACACCGTCCAGCATTATTTAGCTTGCCTCACCCCTGGGAGAGAAGAACCTAGAGGAGGGGAGAGGAGAAGGTAGGCATGGGGTGGTGGGTCAGAGGAGGAAGTTCTGCTGGAGAAACTGACTTAGGAGCGCTGGTGCGTAGTGGTGAAACGACGTGGGAGGTGACTCACCCCGAGCTGTGGGTGTATCTTAACTTTGAGGTGTATGTTGACCCAGCAGAGCCCGGCACATCCTCTGGAGCACTCCCAACTCACATCTGTCCTTCTCCCCAGGGATGATGCCTTCTCCGACAGCCTAAGCCAGAAGGCGGACAGTGAGGCCAGCAGTGGGCCACTGCTGGACGACAAGGCCTCCTCCAAAAACGACCTGCAGTCCCCCACGGACCACATCTCGGATTACGGCTTTGGGGGGGTGATGGGCCGGTAGGAAACACGGATTCATTCTTTTTCTGCTAGTACCACGCCTGTTGGTATCTGATTTGGGAGGAAAACGGGGGCAGGAGGGAGAGACGTAGACTGTTGTGGACCCTGTTCCCCACAGGTGACATTGAGCACACCTGGGAGGGGCAGGGGCTGTAGAGAAGGAGGAAGAAAGACATATCTTAGCAAATCAGTGCTTTTTATTTTAAATAATAATAATAAATGGTGGGGGGCGATTACAAATTGGCAAGTATTTTTCCAACTTCTCTCTCTAGTTCTTGCACCTCCTCCACTTTCCGTTGAAGATCCAAGTAGTTATATTTAAAAATTTAAAGGTTATATACTCCCTGAAGTGTGCTATATAAACACAAAACTCACACCCCCTCAAGTGTGGGGGAAATTGACACTCAACTCCACCGATTTATCTGGTGGGAGCACATTTGCCAATTTCTTTACTCTCCATGTGTGGGCCAGGCTGTGTCACATGACCTTTCTGCCAAGAAGGGAACTGAGCTCCTTATTCTGCATACAGGTGTGGTCCAAAGTATGTGGTAGTTTAAAAACTAATACTATTAAGGAAAAGAAAAAAAAGGACCAAAAACCTGACAGTTCTCACTGCTTTCCTAATCAGGTTCTCAAAATGTAATTTTCTTTGTTTACTCGGTGGAGAGGTCAGGGGACCAGCCTACACATATGAGTGCTTGCAAATAGAGCCAAAAAATTCCCTCACAATGGAAACATACGTTTATGAACTTATTTCAGAAGTCCCAGTGCCTCCTTTAGCATATTCTATTCAGTGGAGCCAACAGTTGGGGTCCTGGGATAGATGATACAGTTGGGAGGGAAAGTGGAAAGCTGGGATAGGTAGATGACAAAGTCATGGTCCCTTGATTTCTGGGGGAGGTGGGGGGGGGGGGCGCGGATTTCTATCTTCTCCTGCCTTAATTTTCCTCTCCCTCCCTCATCTACTTCCTCCTTGTTCTTTTTTTTCTCAATACCTCTTCCTCTCCAGTGCCTCTGCTTTGGTCCTGTTGGGGTACCCACAGGCAGTGCTTAGCTTGGCTGGTGGCATTAAGACCTAAAGCGCTGCTGACCACATTGAACTTGGTCCCGTGGTCGCAATCCATTCCAACACTCTGTCCCTGCTCCCCACCCCCTGGATACTGCAGCTTTCCTCCCTCTTTGGTGGCCTCCATGGGATGTAGCAAAATCTCCAGGAGGTGGAACCTTTTATCTTCAAAGTGCTTTCATACCCACTGAACCTCTTTCAAAGGTGGGCAAGGAATATTATGCCCATTTGACAGATTAATAAAATGGGGCCTCAAAGAGGACCCAGGGAAGTCTGTGACAGCAGGATAAGGACTCACCCTCATGTGTCCCTTTTGTCCAAATGCACGGAAGGCATGTTCAATGATGCACTTTTCCCTCTTGGATGACTTGTTTCCCAAGATCTGGAAAAGGGCTCTTAGAAGTAGCCCTTTGCTGGGGAGGTTGGGGTGGGTAACAATACTGGGCTGTGTTCTGTTCCCAGGGGGGCCCTCCTGTGCTTGCAGGGGAGCGGGTAACTTTGGGTACAGTAAAGCCTCAATGCTTCAGACCAGTTAGAAGCCCTTCAGCATCATGGCGATGTCTGAACTGCTTACTAGTAACGTATCTCGAGCCCAACTAACCTTCACCAAAGCAGTCTAAGGTTGAAATCCTCTGGCCTTGACTTAACAGCTTCACTGTGGAATTGGCACCACCACCCTCTGAGCTTGGAAACAATGCTCTGGTTCCCTCCTGTGTGCGGGTTAAGCCTGTCCCCCGGTGAGGCCCGTGCTCAGCCGGTGCTTTCATGTGGAATCGCAGTCTGGCTGAAGGAGGCTTTACTATACCTTGGCTAGACTAGTGACTAGTGTGTAGTGCGTAGCCTGGGGGTTGACTGACTCATTCTGATTGCCAGGGTTGACCTCTGCCCCATGCCCCTGCCCCCTGGCTCCTTTGCAGAGTGCGGTTACGATCTGATGGAGCAGCCATTCCCAGGCGCCGAAGCGGGGGCGACACACACAGCCCACCCCGGGGCCTGGGCCCCAGCATAGACACGCCGCCCCGGGCCGCCGCCTGCCCCAGCAGCCCCCACAAAATCCCCCTCACCCGGGGCAGGATCGAGAGCCCCGAGAAGCGGAGGATGGCGACGTTCGGGAGCGCTGGCAGCATCAACTACTCTGACAAGAAGGCGCTCTCAGAAGGGCACTCCATGAGGTCGACATGCGGCTCCACCAGGCACAGCAGCCTGGGGGACCACAAGTCCCTGGAGGCCGAGGCCCTGGCAGAAGTAAGGGCCATCAGGAATGCAGGCCGGGCCGGTGGAGACCCCCAGAGGGGGAGCAGGGTGGGGACTTGTGGACGGGGGGGCCACTTTGCCCTTAATGCCAGGCTTAAGACTAAGCCAGAACACAAGATAGATAGGGAACTGGCTTCCCACCTGCCTGCTGGCCTCCCCATGGGAGTGGAAGTTGGATGGGTGCTGCTGCAGGCTAGGGTTCCTGTGAAGACTGAAGAGCCCCCCTTAATCTTCAGGAATGGAGGGGGAATTCCTGACTAAGGGAAAGGCTGGAAGCTGGAGATGTAGGAATGGCAGGTGATTCCATGAGAAGGCATAGCTGAGTTATTCATTCATTCATTCATCTATCTGTTCATTCATTCATTTCATTCATTGACTCATATTGATTGAGCACCTATTGTGTGACAATCACTGGGCTAGGCACTGAGAGTACAATGATGACCTAGAATGGACCCAGGCCCTGCCTAATTTAGAGAAGAAAGAGACATCAACCAATAACACAGCTGTGAAATGGCAGTTGGGCCAGGTTCTTTGAAAGAGTGGTATGTGATATTTTGAGAGCCTAAAATGTAGGGATTGCTCAGAGGGGGAGAGACTTCTTGGGGGGTCTTCTATGACCTGAGATACAGAGGATAGGGGGAATAAATGGCTGACGCTGGGGTGGAGGGTGGAGATATGACCCGATATACAGAGGTTAGGTGGAATAAACAGCTGACGCTGGAAGGGAAGATGCAGCCAGAACCTTCTTGGCTGTGAGAATTGCTCCTTAGAGAGTGGTATTTGAATCCCTGTTACAAGGGGAAGGGGAAAGTTGTGGGTTTGGGGGCTGTGCTCTAAAGGAGACCAGGAAAGTTTCCCCGGGGAAAACCAATGCAGAAACAACTCATCCAGCAGCTAGAACTCCTGCTCACACCCACAGGGTCTAGCTGGGCCCCATGTCCTGATGCCCACTCCCGAGGGACACCTGAAGATCAGCACCTTGGCATGGCCCCGCAGAGGAAGACCTACTTGTCCTTCCATCCTTCAAGGCTGTCCCCTTGGGGAGCATCACCCTAGCATCCACCATTACCCGAAGCTCTAGTAAGAGCCAGGATGGGGAGTGGGTTCCCCAAGGCCCAGAGCCCTTAACATAAACAATCAAATGCAGTGCAGTCTAGGCCAGTGTTTCCAAAAGTAGCTCCCACAGCAGGCTAGTTCACAGGATGTTAATGGGGGGAGAGGGGAAATGTGTTTTGTTGTCAACCAACTTTGGGAAATTCCTGTCTGACAAAGTTGAATGCCTTGTCTACAAGATTTCTTAGAACCTTTAAGTATGTTGAAGTATGTGTATTATGAATCTCCAAAAAGAGAAGAGGGCACACCCAGACTTCTTTGGGCTTTATTCACAGCACATTCATAAGACAAGCCTAAAGAATGAACACACTTGGGAAATGCTTTATGCATTTTTCTCCCTTTGTAAACATACCTACACACTCTCTAATTTGATAGCTGCCATTCAAAAGCTCCTTTCATGGACAGAGGTGAAATGGGAAAGCATGGTAGATAATATGTAAATAGCCAAGAGGGGCACTAGATGGCCTCCAGCCTGCTCAGCATTGGCACTGCCTTCTCAGACTACAAAAAGGAGCCGTGGCAAGGAAATACCAAGTGGTCGATGGAGCTACTAGAAATTCTCTGGTCTCAAAATACCCTTTAGGACTTAGATTTGAACCCAGTGAAGAGGCTGTTTGGGGAACTTGCTACACTGCCATCCAAAGTGGGAAGATGTAATTTGTGAGGAGCTGAAAAGTACTCCTTTCCTATCCCACCCGCCGGAAGTCCATCACCCGCCAGCACCTCTCTGCAGCTCCACTCTGGAGATTATGGCTCACCCCTCAGACTAATGCCAGGCTCCTGCCTAAACTACTCAGCTGATCTTTCTCTGAGCTTTCTGTCTTTCTGGCTCACACTCTGCCAGGGTAGAGTGGTAGTGGTGGGAGGGATGGTGGTGGAAGGGCGATAATTGCACTTTATTTATTGAAGTTTTACCTTTCAGCTCACACTGGAGTAGAGCAAACAAAGAGTAGTGAAGTTAATAGAGGAGTTAATTTAAGCAGAGTGGCATGTTGAAAGTAGACTTTATTCCTGCAGGTTTGGGAGAAGGCAAAGATGGGGAGAGACTGCTCTCTCTCCCCTCATGCAGAAAATCCCCCACAGCTAATCCTGTAGGTAAAGGCCCAAAGGCCCCTTCTTAAAGGAGCCAGTATTATGGGGAAGCCTAAAAGCTAATATTAGCTTTATGTTAATACTAGAGGCCCAGTGCACGGATTCGTGCAACAGTGGGCTCCCTCAGCCTGGTCTGCACCCTCTCGCAATCCAGGACCTCTCGGGGGATGTCGAAGACCTGGTTTTGGCCTGATCTCCGCAGGCAAGGTCGAGGGACCCACTAGGGCATGAATCCGTGCACTCGGCCTCTAGTATGCATATAAGATCTTTCATTAATCTCTTCCCAACTCCCTCTGAGATTCATCAGTCTGTTCCATGTTTCCATGCCTGTGCATTGAGCGTCTGCACCCTGGTGGTCATTGCGTGTCATAGCTACTGGCCGGTCGGCCAGTTGCTTAGGCTTTTATATATATAGACTAGAGGCCTGGTGCACGAATTCATGCACCAGTAGGGTCCCTTGGCCTGGCCTGCAGGATCGGGCTGAAACTGGCTCTCTGACATCCCCTGAGGGGTCCCGGATTGCAAGAGGGTGCAGGCCAGGCCGAGGGACCCCACTGGTACACGATTGGGGCTGGGGAAGGATGCAGGAGGTTGGCCAGCAGGGGAGGGACCACGGGAGGGCTCCAGGGTGTGTCTGGCCCATCTCACTCAGTCCCAATCGGCTGGACCCCAGCAGCAAGCTAACTTACTGGCTGGAGCGTCTGCCCCCTGGTGGCATATCAATAGCATATTATGCTTTAATTGGTTGAACAGCTGCATAGTCGACCGGACACTTAGCATATTAGGTAGGCTTTTATTATATAGGATTATCTAATTAGCCATTAGCTAGTTATCAATAGCTCTTAACAGATCCTAAAAAAGATGGCTGGGACCTTGATTGTCGCCAGACTGGAGGGTGTCATAGGGGCCCAGGACAGGCATTAGGCCACCTGCTAACGGGAGGAAAGGTGGAGGTAAAAGAAGTGGGTATGGAGAGGGGCAGCCAGGACATCCCCAGGCTCCAACCCCATTAGTCTGACCAGACCTGTAGATTTTCCAGATTTGCCCCTGGGCAGAAAAGCAGTGAGTCTTAATAGTCATCATGGTTATTGAGGCTGTGCACAGACCTTCCAACAGTGGTTTTAAGCAGTATCCTTAATTGTCCCCTCAGTGGCCCAGTCCGTGGTGCTCTGGTCCAACTCAGCCTGAGCAGCTCCTCTCATGTGCTTGATGTGAACCAAGGACTCTGGCTAAAGGGACTTTAAAAACCACTGTCTGGCAGTTTACAAAGCTTCATCACATCCATTATCTCATTCCATCTTCACAATAAACTTGTGGGCTTTCAACAGATGAACAAAGTATGGTGCTGAGCAACTGAGACTTGCAAGTGGCAAAGGAGTCTTTGCTCAAAAGTCCTAGCCTAGGGCTCCGAAGTTAAATGCTGGCTTCCAGCTCCAGCACCCCCTACTGGCTGGAAGGGGAACAGAGGCCTTGGAAGAGGCAGGGATGAGCCAGCCATGACCTCGCTCTGTGTCATTCAGAGCACTCTCATCCATATGAGCTTAAATATTAAAACTTCCCAGGAAATTACGTAGGCAGATACGGATTTTTGTCGCTTTATAAGACTTCCATTTTAAAAAAATCAAAAGTTCCTGATTATAACAGAGAAGAACGTAACAGTCCCATCACTTTGAGGTGAACATTCTGATATTTAACCTCCAAGGAATTTTTCTATGGGCAAGGATTTTTTAAAATAATAATAATGGTTAGTGGCGTGGACTTTGGAGACAGACAACCTGGGTTGAGACTTAGACTGTGCTACTAAGTAGCTGTGTGACCTTGGACAAGTTACTTAACCAGCCTGAGCTTCCCCATCCTCCTGTGTACCTGAGCTTAATGGTAGTTCCTACCTGATACGTGTGGGGATGGACTGAATTATTCGGGGCGGGGCTTGGCTTGGTGCTTTGTGCGCGCTTAATGTGTGCCAGGGGTCAGGCCTTGCTCTTCACAGGGACCATATCATTTCATACTCAGCCAGCTCCGAGGTCTGTCTTCTAATGATCTGTAATCTGCGGCCCAGGGAGCTGAGGTGACTTGTCCAAGTCATGCAGCAAAGAAGTGGCAGAGCCAGAATTTGAACCCATGTCTGTCTGGCTGCAGAGCTGGCCTTTCTTAGCCAGCAGTCTGACGTGCTCTCACTGTCAGCTCCCTGTTCAGACAGTGTGCGGGCCACCACCATGTGGGTTCCCCAACTGGCGACACCCTGGGGATTCAGTCTCCACCCCAGCCATTGGCCCCTGGGCAACCTCCCTCAGACACCCCCACGCTGCCCAGGAAGGGTGCTGACCAGAGCTCTCTCTGCCCCCAGGACATAGAGAAGACCATGAGCACGGCTCTGCACGAGTTGCGGGAACTCGAGAGGCAGAACACGGTCAAGCAGGCGCCAGACGTGGTGCTGGACACCCTGGAGCCCCTGAAGAACCCGCCCGGCCCGGTCAGCTCGGAGCCCGCCAGCCCACTGCACACCATCGCCATCCGCGACCCCGACGCCGCCGTGCGCCGCGGCTGCAGCTCCTCCGCCGAGATGATGACCACCTTCAAGCCCGCGCTGTCCGCCCGCCTGGCCGGCGCCCAGCTGCGCCCGCCCCCCGTGCGGCCCGTGCGGCCCACGGTCCAGCACCGGTCCAGCAGCAGCAGCAGCTCAGGGGTGGGCAGCCCGGCCGTGACGCCCACCGAGAAGATGTTCCCCAACAGCTCAGCGGACAAGTCGGGCACCATGTGACCCGCAGGCTGGGGCGCACCATGGCCGGGGGGGCCTCTGTGACTTCCACGCCCTTCCCAGTGCTCCTGGCCTCACCGGGCGGGGCCAGAGGTCAGCCTGAAAGAATGTCTGTGCAGAGCTGAGGCCTAGCGCGGGCAGCAGCTCCATCCAGCTCGCGGGTGTGACGTGACGGAGGCCAGAGGAGCAGGAGCTGGAGCTGGAGCAGGCGCGGGAGCAGAGCAGCCCCAGCTAGAGCGTGTCCTTAGGTTGTGGCAACATGGTCAATGGCTTCGCCGGCATATCGTCACTGGAAAACGATTCTCTCGACATTCTCTCTACATACATAAATATGTGTGTATGTATGTATATGTGTGCATATATACACATACATATGTATGTATGTGTCTGTAGGTGTGTGTACATATATATATTTATGCATCTATATACATATACTAGATCGGGACACATACTAAATGTATATAGGATCTCCTTTTTCTTTTTACGAAACTTAGATTTACCTCAGACCCATGCCACCAAACATCTCCCGCTGTTATTTGGTGGGATTTGCAGGGACTTTTCTGGGAGAACTTAGAGGCCCACAGTAACTGCGAATGAAGCAATATACCACTAAGCTGCAGAAAAACAAACACAGTCTCCCACTGTCTCCAGAAGTCGTGGCCTTCCAGAACAGTCTGCCCCTACATGAAGGGTGGGGCAGGCAGTCCCCAAGCAGGCTGCTCCTAGAGGTGGGGAACCCCCCCGTCCAACCCAGAGACCCTGCCTTTCCACCTGAAGGCCAAGGACCAACTGTACCCCCAAAGGCACGGGAGGACGTTGGCAGGAAGACCCCTGACCACGGCATCCGTGTGTTTGTACGTAGAAAAGGGGGTAGTGAGAACCTAAGCCCCATCGTAGCACAGTATTATGTGTGGTTGGGAAAAAAATAATAAAACCACAGTGGTATGGAACACTTCAAAACCTAGAAACGCCGTAGGAATATTTCTGGTAACTATAGAGGTTTAACTTATACAATTTTCAAAGTATTTAATTTTTTTTCCTTTCCTCTTTCTACTAATTATACTGTGTCAGATGTGGAACTAAACAGGCAAGGAGGTTCTGAGTCACATCGTTTTCATTAAAAATCAGGCCATGACGCACTTTGGCTGGTGCCTCTTGCACGAAGTGCATGAACCGTAAGTGCCCAGGGCCGGGGAGGGGCGGTCCTTGGCACTTCCTGTCCCAGAGGATGCTTCGGTTGAGTTTATGCAAGTGAAATAGCTTCCCTCTCGCCCTTCCCTGCCCCTTCACCTGCCTTCTCCAGAGCATTTAATGTAAGTGAAAACATGGTGAAAGAATTGGGGGTGTGATCATCAAGTACATGAGCAGGGCTTTCACCTCTTGGCTGGGAAAGGGCCTCTGGATCACCCTCGTTCGATTCTGTTTTGCTTCCTCTTTGCATCTCCTGGTTTTCCAGAGATGGCTGTTTATGGATAATGGGACACAGATGAGTTAGATTCCAACGGGACCACCTTTATTCACTACCTTCATGCCAAGCCAAGGGTTTCCTCCCTATTCTTCTCACGCTTCATCTCTTTCTCAAGGCCTCTGAGTATGTCCATGGCTGTGGTTTGGAATAAAAAGTCCTGTGCGTCCCAGCGCCCACCACTTGGGAGCCGTGGGACTCTGGCATGTCCCCGCACCTCATTGAGTCTCAGTTTCCTGCTCCGTAAAATGAAGATAATAATGATGAAATGTAAACGAGTAAGCTGTTTAGAAAGCACTGTGCCAACACGATTATTCTTTTTATTGTCATTAGTAAGGTAGGTCTTTTAGCCTAAAAACCATCCGAGACCTTTTTGAAACCTCCTAATGGCTTTTGAGAGTAGGCAGTGGAATTTTCCTACCAGCTTCATAAGATCCCCAAGCACAGCCCTACAGACATATCACCTACAAATGCTCGAAATTCCATCGATATCATTTCACCCCATTAGATGAATTTTGCCTTGTCCTCTGGTCTTCCGCAAAAAGGTGACCCCCAGAGGGAGGGACCCATTGAGTCACTAATCCTTGGGTGTGTGGGAGTGGCAAGCCCTTCTGCCTCACCTGAGGATTGACATTGAGAGCACACAGTGGAAGGAAGAAGCAAGCAAGGCTCCAAAAAGAGAATGGCAAGGAGAGGCCATCACAAGCTTGACCTTCCTTGTTTTGCCTGGAACCAGCTGTTCTCTTAGCTCCTGGAAATGAAAGCACCTCAGAGCAAGCACCTCTGTGGGCCGTAAGAATATATCCCCGTTGTACAGCTTAGAAAAGAAAGCAAGTCTGTGCCATGCTCATAATTTAATGGGTGTCTGAGAGCAGGGGTCATGTCAGGCGCGGAAGTCATTTATTTGCGAGGATGCTATCCTGTCCAGCCAGGGTACAAGATATCCCATTCCTACCCCACAGATACTGCCAGACCGTAAATATAGTTGCCTCCTGAGCAAAACGTAGCATTCTCTGCCAGGACTACCAGACGTAAAGAGAAAATTTGAGTTGACAGACCTGGTGCCTGATCTACATAACACCAGTCCAACCATGTGGCTTTTCCTCTGAATTGATTAACTTCATTTTTCTTTCCTGAGAATGGACCTGCCTTTTACTGAATTATCTGAAGGCAGAGCTGTAGCTGTGTTCTTTAAGCACCTGTTTTTCCATTGGGAAAAGGCTGATGAGTTCACATTTAGAGAAGCTCACATCTCACTCATCCAGCCCCAAATCTGAGCCTTGTCGCAGAACCAAATGGAAAAATACTTTCCTGCATCCCCCACCCGCACCCCCCACTTCCTCATCTGGCACTCTGCATGTCTCGGTCCCTCCACAGGCACCCAGTCCCACCCACGGTCACTGAGCACTGGCATTCTCTTCCTGACTCCTGCCTGTGTTAGTCCACTATATATTGCTGTCTTTGCTTAAATGCTGGAAAGTAACTGTTAAAATGTGAAATCGTAATTTTAAAAAAGGCGACAATTAAATTATAGCCAATGCCACTCACCAAATCTTTGCACCTAGTAGATAGTTCAATGTAAAAAACAAATACGAGAAACCTAACTGTACAGTGAGTGTGGGGGAAATGTAGTAACCTAGTTCGTAGTCCTCAATATAACCAATTGTACAAGGGGAAGTGGTGTTTACCTACTTGTTCATCACCATTACTGAAAGCTGTGCTGATCAGTTTGTCGATAACGGGCATTTTTTTTTAAATTATTTTTTTGCTTTTCACAGAATGCTTTCTTAACCTTCGACTTATCCTGAGGTCAGGCCTTTTGTCTTTATGTGTAACCGATGTTCAGTCTATTTTAGGAATGAACCAGCAAGATGTTCATTTAAAACTGACCAAAGACAATTCCTTCCTGGTCTAGTTTCCTGGGCCCCGGGGCCCAGTCGCCGCTAAAGACCTTTCTCGGATAAAATTGAGAACAAGCCGTGCTTCCTGCCCCACTCTCCCTCTCTCCTTTCCTTTCCTCTTGAAGAGCTGCTCTGAGCTGTGGGATTCTATGAAAAATTCTTGCCTTTCCTTGTTTCCAGTGCTAACGATTTCTCACCTTGAAGCGCCTTTGAACCCGGACAGAGCACCAATGGGAGGGATATGTAAGCTTGGGCATTAGACTTGGGAGTCTGTCCTCTGAGGCCACCAGGCCGAGGAGCAGGAGAGAAGTGGATTCCCAAGGGCTAACAGGTTTCTATTCAATGAAGAAATCCGAGTGGGAAGAGACACAGGGAAATGGAGCCAACCTTTGGCCACGGCTGGAACCAGCAGTTCAGAGATCTGCCTTATAAACCCTTCAGAACTGGTTTGCGATGCACAGAGGGAGCCAGCGTGGGGAAGGGCCTTGACGCGGGGCTGGCTCCTCTGTTGGAGGCCCTTGGAGTGCCTTGGTGGGTACGTTTCTTCCTCATTCAGGAAGCATCAATGCAAAGGACTTCCTGTGACCTGGCTGTTACTTGGCACTCAGCGCACATCCTCGGCTGATGGGAAACCACAAGGACTAACGTAACGGTTCTTCCTCTCGGTCTTCCTAGTCCTCACTTTTCACACATCCAGAAGGTTTTACACATGAGCAAATGCCTCATTCTCCCGAGAAACCCGGAAAGAGGAGTGGTTGGCTCACAACCATGGTGGGCGGGCCCTGTTGGGCTTGGCGGTCGGTTGGCAGGGAGGAAAAGGCAGGAAGGGGTGAGCCGAGGTGTTGCTTAGCTGATTTTCTGCTGTGCAGAGCTAATGCTGACGTTTCATGTCAACTTCCCCGGTTCTCTGGGGTCTCCTCTCTCGTATAGAGAATTCCCCACATGCCCTAACTGCCAGGGGAGCTGAGCGAAGGGACCTGCTGTCGGTTGGAGCGCTCCTGGCCTCTCTGAGGCTGATCTGCCAGGGTCCCGCTGTCCCGTCCTCTGGGACTGGCCGAATGGCCAGCGCTGCCCCTCGCTGACACCTCCTTTCTGTGTGAACTGTCCCTAACAAAGCTGTTTCTTGGACCAGAACAAGCAGAACGCACTCCGCCTTCCTTAGACCAAGGCTCTGCTGGAGTTCCTGCTGGGCCCTGGCTCCCGGCAGTGTGGCTGTTTACACGGTTTGGCAATAGGCTTGGTTCTGATTGCTTCAGAGTGGCTGGTCTATTTTGTTTCCTTTGGTTTCCCTCCTCCCGAAACTGTGTCAGGAAAAAAAAAAAAATCGAAACCACCCTCGGAAAATTGCTGGTTGCTTGTCCCCACGTGATGAGAAGTGCTGCCCTCTTCCAGATATTGTTTCTCTACCTTACAGCCAACGCCCGTCCTATAGAGTGTCTGATTGGATCCTCTGTCGCATATTCTGATGGTGCCTGCTGGTTTGATGTGGAGCTATCCTGTGAAATAAAACAGCTTAACTTTTCTCAAACACGCGCTCCGGTGGCTTTTTGAAAGGGTGAGGCGGCCCATTGCGGGTTGGGGGGGGGGGGGTCCCGGAGGGGTGTTCCTACCCCCGAGTCCACACTGTGTGCGTGCTTCTCCCAGATCAAGCTTCCAAGGAGGACTGCTTCAACCACAGAGCTGACAGGAGGAGGTGACTGTGGGGTGTCCCCTGCAAGCAGAGCTGGAAGTGTCAAAGCAAAGGCAAGTGGGAGGAGCTGTCTGCAGAGGGAGGGCTTTCAAACGTTTAAACATCACACACAAGGCCACAGGATACTGACTTCCAGTGTGAAGGCAAATGCAGTATTTTGGCATTCGTTGTCTACACACATTTGATAGAGCCCCTAGGACTGTGTTGTTCCTGTTTTTAACATATGTTTTGGGTTTGGTTTTTTTGGTTGTGTGTGTGTGTGTGTGTGTGTGTGTGTGAAGTGTTTACTGATCACATTTCTGCCCCAGGTACTAGATTAAGCCTTTTACTTCTCATCAAATTCTCAAAACAGCTGTTGAAGGTAAGTGCTTTTTTAAATAAAATTTAAAAAATATATTTTTATTGATTTCAGAGAGAAAGCGAGAGGGAGAGAGAAAGATGCAAGTATCAATGATGAAAGAGAATCATTGATAGGCTGCCTCCTGCACACCCCCCCACTGGGGATCGAGCCCACAACCTGGGCACATGCTCTGACCGGGAATGGAACCATGACCTCCTGGTTCATAGGTCGATGCTCAATCACTGAGCCACACTGACCAAGCTAAGTGCCCTTCTTAAACCCCAATTTGCAGATGAGGAAACGGAGGCTCTGAGAGGTTTAGAGGCTCACCCAAGGTTAGGCTAGGAAGTGAAGGAGCCAGAATTTGAGTCTAGTCTATCTGACTCCAAAGTCATGCTCTTTCCAAGTTCACTGTATGGCCTGTCACTGAGCATTCTCAATACACCAGGTTGGCGGCAGGATCTCACGATTAAGGTAGCTTGATTGTGGCTTACCTGCCACAATCAAGGGAAATTCCAGGGCCCTTCCTTTCTGGTGAACCCTCTGGAAGATCTTCATGCAGGGGCCCCTTTGCAGAAGAGAACGAGGTCTCCTGCCAGCCTCAGGGAACCCATTATTCCCACCGTAACCACTTGACACTCAACGGAAGCCTCTGGCAAATTCCAGGTTCCAATACTGTGTCTCTGTCCCAGAGCCTCTTCTTCTTTGGGAGACCTTACACTCAATGCCCTTCCTCGGTGCCAACGGAGTGGGTGTCTGTTTCTTGCAATAAAATGGGAAAAGAGGAAAGAGTAGTAATAGCCAACATGTTTACTAGCTTCCAGGCATCCTTCGGAGCCCTTTCACATGTAAAAGCCAACTCAGCAATCCTATGGACCACCCTACAAAGCGGGACTGCCCAGTGTACATATGAGGAAATGGCACAGAGGGTAAGTAACTTGCCAAAGGACACACTGCCAGGAAGTTGGAGCTCGGGTCCCACTTAGTCTCACTCTGGAGGTGGATCTTTGCCGTTCTTCCCCACGCCCCAGGCACAGACAGGCCTCTGGGTGTGATCTGAGCAGAGGACAGGGTGGAACTGTGAGGTTCACTGGTCTGCACGCGTTTGTCCCAAGACCCCTCACTCAGGGGCCTTGTGCCAGGCACAGGGCAGCGGTGGTGCGGATGGTGGTCTGCTGCTGCTCAGACGGTCTCTACAGGAGCCAGGACAGATTCAGTGTCCTGCCTCTGACACGAGTGAGCATTTCATATCGATCCCCTAAACCGCAGCTCATGAGCCACATGCAGCTCTTTGGCCCCTTGAGTGTGGCTCTTCCGCAAAACACTGGCTCTTCCACAAAATATCAACTTCTGCGCATGGGACACGAAGTTTCAATCGCACTGTACGTGCGCGCCCGCACGTGGTATTTTGTGGAAGAGCCACACTCAAGGGGCCAAAGAGCCGCATGTGGCTCGCGAGCCGCGGTTTGCTGACCACGGCGAGAAAGGGTGTGTGTGCTTAGGGGGAGAAGCCTAGAAATGGCCCTGCCACTGCCTCAACGTGTGCAGCCACGGGGACTCACCCCTGGAGAGGCCATCAGAAGGGCTTTCCCAGCGGAAGGTTGTGGAAAGGATGGCGTGGGAGGTGGGCAGAGTGCAGCAGAGACCAGCAGCAGCCGCAGGAGTGGCAGCTTTCCTGTCGCTGCGAGGGAGGTTGTGTTTAAATAAAGGATTGTAAGAAGAGGCAGGGAGGGGATGAGAGCGCCCCAGGCCTTCCCAGCCACTCCAGAACAGAGGTCCAGCCTGGGTTCAAGAAGCAGATGCTAGCAGCTGTTCTCAACCTGTGGGTCGCAACCCCTTTGGGGGTCGAACGACCCTTTCACAGGGGTCGCTTAAGACCATCGGAAAACACATATAGCGTATCAGATATTTACATTACGATTCATAACAGTAGCAAAATTACAGTTATGAAGTAGCAACGAAAATAATTTTATGGTTGGGGGTCACCACAACATGAGGAACTGTATTAAAGGGTCGTGGCATTAGGAAGGTTGAGAACCACTGTGCTAAAGGAAGGATGCCTTATAGAACCAGCGCTGGGCCTCACCTGCAACCTTCCTCAGCCGCCCCAGGGGCCTGGAATCAGATCTCTGAACCCCTCCCTGTGGCCCACAAAGCCCCCACCCTCTGCCCCAGGACCCAGCCCCTGCCCATCTCAGCTTCTCTCCCCTCCATCCTCAGCATTCTCCACCTGAGCCCTCCTCGCCTGGAACCCACTGAGGGCTTCCTACCTCAGGGCCTTGGTCCTTGCTCATCCTCTACCTGCCAGGCTCTTCCCAGCCTCTTCTCCTTGCCGCCTCCTCCCCTCCCTTACAGTGTCTGTTCACATGTCTTTGCCTCGAAGGGGCCTCCTTTGACCACCTTGTTTAGATCTGTCCCTGCCCCCAGTCACCATTGGGCTTATTTGTTTTATTTTCCTCATTGCATTTATCATCACTGAAATTTACTCTGTTCATTTGTTTACTTATGCATTGTCTCTCTCCCCCAAAACTAGAATGTAAGCTCCAGAAAATTGGGGTTTCTGTCTATCTTGGTCACACTATCTCCACAGGGTATGGCGCCCAGCATAGTAAGTGCTCCATAAATATTTATGAACAAAATGAATATCTATCCACAACTGGGGGGAAATGCCATTTCTGAGTGAGGAGGGCTAAGTACTTAAACAAAATCACATTTTTGGGTGTCATTCATTCATTTAACAAATTATTCTTAAGCACCTACTGTGTGCCAAGCTTCCGGTGAGTACCAGGGCTGTAGCCATGAGCAAAGTGGACCAAGATCCCTGTGGAATTTTATGGTCAAATACTAGAGATCAAACAATGACCACAACAAAACAGGAAGCACCAAGGGTGTGGGGAGGAAGGATATCAGCTCCTGCTTCAGACTGGGAGGTTGGGACAGTCCCTCTGAGGAGAAGCTGAAACTGGGAACAGAAGCCTGAGAAGGAGCCCACCATGTGGGGTTGGAGAGGTGACCGGGAGGGCAAACATCACGGCAAAGGCTCTGGGGTGAGAAAGAGGTTGGTGTGTGAGACTGAAGGCCAATGTGGCTGGGCTGGGGGTGAGAGATGTGAAAACAGCTGGCAAGGAGGAAGGCATAGGCAGCACCTGTGAGCCACAGCGAGAATGTATTGTCAGAGCAATGAGAAGCCCTTGAAAGGTGTCCACAGGGGGCATTACTCGGTCCTGTTTATTGCTGTTAAACAATGATCTCTGGCTTCTAGATTGCAGCTACTTCTTAATGATGGAGGCTGGAGTGCTGCTTGAGGACTTAAACACTGTATGGGGCTATGATGCAGTGTCAGGAGCCCTGGACTATGATGAACCTGCTTCTCTGTACCTGAGGGCTGATAAAGCAGATGGAGGCATTTTATTATTATTTATGGGCTTCGAATACCCCCAGGCCATTTTGTCTCTGGATTTCCAGCTCTGCTCATCCATACATCCACCCCCCCCACCCCCCACCCCCAAGGGCTTATTGGAATTCTTCCTGATATGGAGATCAGTGGCCCACGCATGGAGCCGACCTGTAGACCTTCTTTATAGGCAATTTACAGAGTCCTGTTATCTATGGAACAAGATTTTCCTTCTTCAAATGCCTATTCGTTTAACCAAACTTAGACCGGTGCTCATAGGTTTTTGATGTCATGATAAATAGCTTGGCTCTTTCTAGTTTACGTCATGCTGTTGAGAACACATTAAGTCAGGACTAAAACACCCAACTCAGCTTGCCTTCAACGAAAGGAATAATTTTTGCTCCATCTGAATGAAAATAAAACGGGGTTCAGGAAGGACCGGATCCAGGTGTTCAACAATGTCAACAAGCTCCTGTCTCTCCAACTCCTTCCTTTTCAACAAAAGCTATACGGTATGAACTATTATTAGCCCCACAAGGTTCCGAGAGGTAAAGGACTTTTCCAAGATCATACAGTTGATAAGTGTGTACATCTATCTGAATGCACGTACAAGAGGTTACCTCACACAGGTGGCAGATTCCCTCTTCCCTGGGTTAAGTTCTTTGTTTCTGATATGTCCAGCCAAGGTCTCCATTCCAGTGACCTCAAACATAGAGACATCCACGTCTGCAAGGACCCAAGTCCTGGTGACTGCCCCTTCTGGGTACACTATTTACACAAGTGGCTATAGCAGGGCAGGGGCAGGGGTTCATTTGACTTTGTCCTCAATTCGCCCAGCTTAGGGCCCTTTGGGAAGTCAAATGCAAAGATGAGAAGAGATAAAAGAATAAAGAATGAATGGGGTGACTGCTCTTCCGCATTTCTTCCTCAAAGCTTGAGTCCACACCCAGCCCGATACTCTACTGTCGCCATGTGGCCATCTGTAAAATGGCAGGTGGGATGAGTTATCTCGGATTTTTATTGTGAAATATTTCAAACGTAAAGAAGAATACGGAGAATGGTATAATTAACCCATTATATCTATCATCTATACTTAACAGTTAT